TATTGTCTTTAGAACATGGTTAAATATAAGCTAGACTATCAATTTGGAATTAATTTTGTGGAGGAATGAGAGGAAGACTATAGCAGAAGTTCTGACATACTGTTAAGTAGTCAGCTGGCCTCTGTCACACTGGAAAGGCAGACACTCTCTTCCTTGGACTTTGAATTTTACATGACTGTATGCCTTACTCTTTCTTAAGACTCAGTTCAGATTTGTTATTATTTGTATTCCTATTGTTCTTAATTCTATTTGTACTAGCATAAACTATAGTGTTTGGTACGAAATGAGGAGTTATTTTGAGGCATAAACTGTCCTGTGGTAGAGGAATTTCATAATGTGTTGCAGTTATCTGTTTTTCTGATCCGTTCCTCAGTAGACTGCAGATTTTCAAGCACATTAGTCATATCTTTGTCATCCCTTTATCTCTAGAACTTTTAAGTTTTGGGGTCATAATAGGTGCTTATTAAATGAGATTCACATGAAGGAAAAAATAATTGAAAATGAAAAGCAAAACAGTCGAGACACTCTATTTGGGGGTTGTCTTTCAACTCTGAAGTTGCACTAATTTAACAATGACTATTATGACATCACTGTTACCAGGTTTTCTAAGTCTGTATTAAAACATTTATGCCTACTAAAATTAGATGCTGTGTATACTAGGTAAAAATCAGTTATTCAACTGTTAGGAAGTTAATGCTACCATAAAAAGAGCTATCAAAAAAGAGCAACAACAAAAATTCTTTTTTTGTTCCTGATAGAAATAAAACCATAACATCATTCTTCTTTCTAGCACTAAAGGAGGACTACAGATCTATTTCATTTGACTAAGGGAGCTCTTTCTCAGAGACTGGGAGGCTCAGAATGTCTGTGCCTCTTCTACATGAGGTCAACTTGTAGAAGACTTGAACACTTCACAACGCAGACTCCAACAAGTGCTTCCAGTGGCATGCCCCTGCTGAGGTAGGATGTAATAACATTCAGAGTTGAGGGTTCAGTCATCCTGAGGGTGGACCATTTCGGTATGAACTCACTCGGTAACAGGGCTTAGAGAATTTCCGGTTCTTAGAGCACCTCCCTGTTTAGGACTCTCTTTCACTTCTCCTGCAATCAGGAGGAGTCTGCTCTGAAACACCCTTAGACTGTCCACTGTGGAAATATGAAAAGATGACAAGTTACACGATATTTAGACAGAAATGAAAAAGAAAAACCTGTTCACACAAACGGAAAACAGCAACATATTTCAGGATGCTAGTGTGCTATGGATACATATAATGTTCCCATTCCTTTCTCGATGTGGGGGTGGGGCGGGGAGGGCAGAAGTGAGGCAGCTCTGTCTAATGCCCTGCCAATATTACAGATCAGAAAACAGTGCTCTGCTATGCTATGACTGCAGACATTGTGAAATTCTTCTCTCCCCGCCAAGTAACTTGGCTCCAAAATAATCATCCCAGGCTGTCCATTCTGAAGTTCATCATAGCAAATATAGGCCAATGAGATGCAGAGCGACACTCTTGGTTTTCTGTGGTTGTTTGAGCTCCCCTTAACTCCTCTTTGGGACTAGTTGGTCAGTAATGGCCGCAGAACCAGCCCAGATGTTTGCAGAGTAAATGTGGTGCTAACAGTGATTCTGGAAAGCAATGAGGGGAGCAGAGGGTGTGAACAAAAAGACCTTAGCAGTTGATACTGAAAGTACTCATAAAAGCCTCCTGTACATACAGCTATCCTTTCTCCATCCCTTCTATTAAATTCCAGAGTTAGAAAATTGAGATTAACTACTCCAGTCCCTTACTTAGAAACCATCTCCATCACAGTTGACTGCTCTCTGACATCTTTTCTCTTAATGTTCATTTTCAACTTATTTCTTTCAGATAAATGCCATTATGTGTGTGTACATGTATGTATGTGTGTGTGTGTGTGTGTGTGTGTGTGTGTGTGTGTGTGTATGTGTGTGTTTATGGGAGTAAATATGAAGTTGGAAAAAAGATACAAAGGCCTTGTGAATTTTGGCCTCTCAACTTGTACATCTTTAGGCCTTTTCTCCTTCCTAGGGGATGCTTTCTTAGAAAACTGCTAGCTCTCCCTACTTTCTCTTTCTCTCTCACAGTCTCTCTCTCTCTCTCTCTCTCTGTGTGTGTATGTGTATACATGAGAGGGGACCCAAAAGAACTCGGAATTATTTTCTGGAGGGAGGGCCTCTTGTAGTGTGGGCTTCCCCCATGAGGTAAGTGTTCTAAGAACCCATTTGCATCAGTATACCAGCTAGAGTTGTTGTGAGAGACTGTGTTCAGCTTCAGTGAATTTTTGGGAGCAGATTGTTTCCACGTCTTTGCCCATTTTGTGATGAGTGATTTATGAGTGTAACTGCCCACACCACGCTAAGTGTTCAGCAGATTTTGACCAAAAACAGCATGAACCCCCATGCTCTACCCTCCCCATTCACTGAATCTCTCCTCGAGCAACTTTTTTTGTGTGTTTTCCTGAATATAAACCATCCTCACAGGGATATGTTTTGCTGATGTGAAAGAGGTGAAACAAAAATGACAGAAGGACTAAAAGGCATCAAAATCACTGAGTTAAAAACAATTTTGAGCAGTGGAAAAAGTGTTTTGATAGGTGTATTACATCAAACAGAAAATACTTTGAAGGTGACTGAAGTTTAAACATGTGAGAATAAATACACAATTTTAAATAAATACCATTTTTGAGGGGTCCCCCTTCATATGTGTGTATGAGTTTTTATTTAGTGATAAAGAAATTAAGGAAGATAAATTAGCAAGGGAAGATCATTTGCTCCCCATTAACATTACTCATCTCTGGGGTTGAGGTAGTTTCTTCTACAGAATTGTCTGCACCATAGCTTGCAATATTCCCTTCCGCACCACCTGGACCTATCAAGCTAATATTCCTTGCAAAACCTTGGCTGTATCCAAACAAGTGAGGAAACCATAGTTAAATGGCTGAGAAATTGGTCTGGTCTTAGTGCAGATGCATTGAGTGGCTACCTTTGTAGATCTGGACCTGACCCAAGGCAACCTGGGCATGCCTAATTTGAGTCCCCTTACTATGTGCTCCAGCTCTTTGTCCTTTTCTTCCATTCTCACTCAAGACAGCCTCAAGCAAATCTAATCTCTGGGTTGATCAGATCTGCAGAAGCTTTGACTAAACACTCCAAGAATATTGCATGGCATAATTGAGATTGAATGCTTGCCAGAAACAGCTCCATGCCATCTCCTTGATGAATAGATTATTCCAAAGTATCAGTTTATGAACTGACTAAGTCGGAATGACCTAGAAAACTTGTTGCATGACAGATTCCTAGCTTGCATTGTACAAGATTGTGCCTCAGTATGTTTGACAGTCAACTAGGTTTGAGAACTCCAGTTCTAGACATCAAATCAGAAGTCAGTCTGAAAAGCTTCCTTGAGTCCTCATTTGGTGCAGTCACTTTCACTTTGTCCAGCTAACTCCAGTGCAGTTTGACAATTTTCAAGGACAGGAACTATGCCACGGTTATATCTAAGTGGAAGGAAAACAGCTCCAATAGTGGTATATTGAGTAATTCCCACAAAATGATCCCTGAGGCTCATCTTCCAGACACATTGAGATCTAGAGACAGCTCTTAAAGGAATTGTGGGCATAAGGCCCTTTACTTGAACTGGTGGACACACTACACTGTATGTGCCTATACATGTGAATAAACTATAATTGCTTTATCTCTGGAAGCCATGGACAAAGTTGGCCAAGCTCTTGGCCACAGTTGCTATGAATCGTCACTTAGACTGTACGCTGCACTGTTCCTGGCACCGTTTTCACAAACGGTAGTGTGGATGGCCCCCAGCAGTTGCACAGTGTGGTGGTCCTTGGAAAAAGTTAGCCATTATTATGAAACCAAGAAGAAACCCACCAATGAGGAAGCAAACGCAATGTTTGGGGGTAAAATTTCAACAGGGTTATCTTCTTGCTATGCAGCTAGGTCTCAAGTTCAGTTCTCAGCACATGCACACATGTATATACACACTCTACTTCCTAGACTTCTCTTTTTCTCTAATCCAGGCTGGCTTGCAAGAGATTCCCTTCCATACCTCTGTACTGTAGATGAATTGGGGAATGCCACAATAAATTAGAAGAGGAGACTTAGTTCATGGTGAATGATCCCTCAACTCAAGGCTCCTCCAACATTCTGGAACTAAGTTTTAAATAACAATCTTGACTGTCTTTTTCTTCAGAGTCCTGTTCTTGAAACCAAGTTCCATGCAATAAAGCACTTTTATTTCATGCAACACAGCTCAGTTGATGTTTATAGTCCCAAATATCCCAGTTTACTCGGTACAACTCAGATGGGCGTGCCGAGTATAAAGGAACATGCACAGCACAGCAACAGGGAATGTTCATCACCAAACACAAAGAAGTAAAGGAGCTGCAAAGCTACGGTAGCTAAAGGAGGATTAGCTTTCCTGATTTCAGTTCAAGAAAAGCCACTTGTCTCTACAGTCCAGTGGTTTGGCATGGCATCTGCCCTTGGCTGTGAGATGATGTTATATTCAAGGTAAGTCAGGTGAGTTTCCAGGATTGGGGGTGGAACCTTCCCTCAATTGCATCTTTCCCTTAAAACTAGGCCTAACTGTTTGCATTTTTAAAAAAAGTGATTGGATATCCTCGGAATGTGAATTTCCTCCAATCTCTTCCACTTTGCAAACTCCAAAACCATTTGACCAATAAGTTAAAACCCATGGGAGAACTGACTGTGAACTAAGCCTTCAGACATGCAAAGCGCACAACCCTGGGAAACAGCAGCGTCTGGGACAGGAGGCTCCCATTACTTCACATGAGGACGGCATGGGTTTTGCAAATCAAACACACACAGAAAACCAGAAGTGGCCCAAGTTGGACAACACTGTATGGGATGCACAGTTGAGTGAGGACCCAGACCAGGGAGCCACCTGTTCCTCTAGCTTGCATACATTTATTTCACACCATCTCAGGCCGCTTAGTTTGCTTACCTGCTCATTGTGGCTCTCCCACCATTCCCCATACTCCCTTTGGGGGTGAAACACTCTATTTCCGACTTGTGCTGGGCCAGTCTCCTGTCTTTGTACCTGGTGAGCATGAACAAGGACAGGAGCAAACAGAAAGACGTGATTGTGTGCTTAACTGCCAGTCTGAGGAAGGGCCGTGACTGTGCCAAAACAAAGATTTCTGCTTTTTTTTGCAATGGCAGAGCTGTAACACTTATTAGATTACTATGGTGGTTCATAGGCAACTTTGAGGACAATTTTGTCAATTCTTGGTTAAACCACATGTAACCCACATTGCCTATTAATCTGTGAATTCAGCACATTTAATAGTCAATGGTAAGGGAATCAATTCCTACCATCTTAGAAAAATAGGTATATAAATAAGTTAGAATTCATTTAGTGCTTACCATGTTTCAGACGCTGTACTAGAAATTTACCTAAATTTTATCCTGACAACAGCCTTGTGGCAGAGGCTTCATTATTATTGTCATTTTGCTAATGAGGAAACCTAAAATTGCAGGGATTAAGTAAATTGTTCAAAGACACGAAGTAGGTGGTTGGATGGGATTATGAACACAGGGAGTCTAAGTTTAGAACTCACACTTTAGCCAACATAATGTATTGCCTTCAATTACCAGGTTTTTTTTTAAAAACTAATCCTTATTATTAACAAACCTTCATTGAGTATACTATTCTGAATATTATATTAATCTTTAGCAATAACAGAAGAGATGACTTATTCCTTGAATATGAAAGTTTTCTATAACCATTAAGCTGAAATTTTGACAGTCGGTATTGGGTTGTCTGCATTTTAGAGCGTGACTCAAACAGCTTTCATACTAGAATTGGCAGCTTACCACTCTTGGAAGGCACTGGATATTTCATTTAAAGTAAGTTATGAGCATCTACAAATTAGTCTTCTACATGATTCATAAAGATGTGTCCTTATACTTCAATGATAGTTGTTTTTTGTTTGTTACTTTTTAGAAAATATAGTTTATTTAGAAAGAAAATTAGAGAAAGAGAGAGAAAGAGGAGATTCACCTCCCCAATGTAGGGTAGGGGGCCAAAGTCCAGTGATAGTTTTTTAAGCCAACATGCTTTCACAAAACTAATATCTTTTTGTCATCATTTTAACTTTGTGGAGTAGGATTTTTTTTTTAAAAGCTTTTATTTCCATTTGCCAAATGAGGAAATTGAGATTTACTTAGCTGACTTCACCAAAGTCATAAGCCTCATCATTAGACAATAACTGTCAGTAGATCTTGCAGGGGCCCAAGGCGCTTAAGGTTTAATTACCTTTTCCATAATAAAACTGGAGTCTGATATGGTACCACTTCATCCATGTTCCTGGTATTCAACAGGCAGTGATAAAGGGAATTGTTATTATTAGACTTGTTTATCCAAATATAGTCATGTTCTTTTTAGTTTCTTTTTCTACTTTCTCAAATGTAATATAATATAAAACAAAACGCAAACAAGTCAAGATCATCGTTGGTCTAGGTATAGAGGGCTTCCTATTAATTTTTTTCTCTTCAAGACCTCTGTGTGTACATATATATATTATATATATATATATATAATATATATATTTCTTAAAACTCAAACTCTAGCATTTAATGTAAATTTAACCTTTAAAAATGTTAAAAGATATATGTAAATTACATCTCATTAATACTATTAAAGATGGGATTTTTGGTAAATAATATCAATAACATTGATTTTTTTTCTAAAAGTAAAAAAATTAAAAATTAAATGCTAAAATATCTAATATTTGAATAAAAATTTTTTATCATATCAAGCCAAATAGATGTAATGGATTAACTTCTTTAATCAACATTGATTAAGCAACTATTAAATTCTAGGTAATGGCTTTGTACTGTAGCTATAAATAATCTTCAAGTTCTGCCTCACAGAGCTCACAGAATAGTGGGAGAAGATAAGGGAAGAAGTATGTACACAAGAAATTCTAGATGTAGGCCATAAAGAAGAGAGGAAAATAACTTAAAGACCTTGTTAAAGGTGCTAAAACGCCAGACCAAACCACACTGAGTAGCTTTTATTTTACAAAATAAAATACATTAGAAGATAATTATTTGTGAAGTACTAATCACCAAATGAGGCTCCACATTTCAAAACAAAATATTTTGTGCTTATTTGTGAACTGGGTTGTATAACCAAAATACTGCTCTGCAACTTAAATTAATAAAATATTGATAGAATTATCATAATGCTATAAGAAAAGGATTGGCAGTAGCAGGAAACTGTCTGGAGGGGTGGGGGAAACAAATTTGGCAGAAGTGGAACTCTGCTTGGGGAAGGAGGGCCACACCTCATCAACAAGGATACCTGCATAATGAACATCTGTATACCTAACTCTGAACTGTACCTCACATTTTTAAAATAAAAAAGGAAATAAATGATATAATAATAAATTATTGATGGCCATTTAGTTCCTTAACATATTTTAAAATATTTTCTGTTAGGCTAATTGACAATCATTTAAATATTTCATAGATAAATTAAGAAACATACAGTCTTATAAGCTGTCCCTCTCTGTCTCTCATGCCCACACACATTCTGCCAGATGACTCTGTTCATGAAATATGAAATAGTTGCTAAGCATCCCATTCAATTAAAACTTGGCGTCTTTTGGTAAAAGCTTTCACCGAAAACAAAACCTGAACCAAAAAACAATCAACCCCAAAACAAACAACAAAAACAACAGATACTCCTTGTAATAAGTGGAGAGATACCTTAGACTTTTTGGAAGCTTCGAGGAGAGATGAACATGGCATTCACAGAGAATGGGAAGCTCATCTGTACTTTCAAATGGGACCTTTTTGCCTGTCTATGACTGTAATTACAGCTTAATTATGTTCACCAGATACATAAATAGACCATATTTTTATTCATTCATTCAGTTATCCATTATTCTATTCACCAATAATGGACTGTTCAAAGTAACTAATAACCCTTTTGTAGTCTCCACTGTACATGTACAATTCTTTCCAGTTGTATTTATTTCAGAACTATGGAAATGTCAATTAAAAACAGTTTAAGATTATCAGAGTTATAGTTTATAAAATATCAAGTTAAAAATTTCACTTTTATATAGTGCATTTATAATCTTTTTTTTTTTTTTTTTTTTTTTTTGAGTTAGAGTCTCACTCTGTTGTCCAGGCTGGAGTGCAGTGGTACATTCACGACCACTGTGGCCTTGACCTGCTGGGCTCAGGTGATCTTTCTGCCTCAGTCTTCCAAGTAGCTGGCACCACAGGAATGCACCACCATACCTGGCTAATTTTTTGATTGATTGTAGAGACAAGGTCTAGCCAAGTTGCCCAGGCTGGTCTCAAACCCCATTTCCATTTAAGTTTCTTCAGGGTAACAATGTTAGTACATTTAAAAACAAAACTGCAAAAGCTTATTATTTACCTTTTCTCTTCTTGACCTTACATTGCAAGGAAGTAGCAGAGGTGACAAGAAAACCAGTGGAGGATCTAGTGCTAGACCATTAAAATTTACTCCTTCATCTGTATCCCTATACATGGGCTCAGGCAATCCTCTAGCTTCGGCCTCTCAAAGTGCTGGGATTACAGGCTTGAGCCACTGTGCCCTGTTATTATATCTTTTAGACACTTACACAATACACATATACTTGCAACATACATACTTAAAATAGTGCCTTGCACATATTTACTCATTTTTCAAATGAAATGCTTATTTCACTATAATTAATTCAGTTATAATTGAAATAATAATAATAATGATAGAATATTGAATGTGTCAGGATTTTAAAAAATTATTCTCAATTATACAAACCTTACAAAGTAGGTGCTACTATCCTCATTCCGAAGAGACAGACACTCAGGATCTGTATCAGTAAACCCAAGCTAATACAGCATATGAATAGGAGAACCAAGGTTAGAAATCAGGTCTCTCTGATTCTAAAATTCATATTATTTCCATTTAAGTTTTCTCAGGGTAACAGTGTTAGTACATTTAAAAACAAAACTACAAAAGCTTATTATTTACTTTTTCTTGAACTCACTTTGCAAGTTAAGTAGCAGAGGTGACAAGAACAACCAGTGGAGGATCTAGTGCTAGGTCATTAAAATTTACTCCATCTGGGTCCCTATACATGAACTACACAGGTTTAGTTTACAGGATTTGAAACCATTTACTGAACACTCTATGTACCAGATACTGTGATAAGGAACACATGGGTAACTATGTCATTGATAAGTTCAGTCTTGAGTGGGAGGATAAAATGAAAACAATTTCCAAACAATGTAAGATGTTTTATTATAGAAACAAATACAAGAAGGGATACCTAACCCATACTGGAGCAGCAGGGAAAACTTCAGTGAGATATGATGCCTAAGATCAATTTTAAAAGATGAATAGAAATATGCTGTAAGAAGGTGGGCAGGTAGGGACAAGAAAAATTAAGTGTGACATGTGGAGAGGCTTAGCAGCGTGGCGTACATGGGAGAACGCTGTTTAGTGTTTTTTATTGCAATAACTTAAGTGTAAAGTAAGAGAAGGTAAAAAGGAGAATGCAGATAGAGAGGTATGTAAAAGATGATGAATATACCAGTAGGTTGTAAGTTTTTACTATGAGATTTTTACCCTAGAAAAAAACATGATCAAAGTCGACATTTAGATAAAATTCTAGGACTTGAGAGAACTAAGCTAGAGATAGACAGATATTACTGTCATAATTCATGTTAGAGATGATGAGATAATGCCTTAGGGTGGTGAATATTGAATGAAAAGTAGAGTACAGATTGAAAACTATTTAGAAGGCAAAATGAGTAGGAATCATTAGATGATGTGTGTAAAAGAGAGATGCATAGAATGCTACTTCAGTTACTCTGTTGAGTGGTATAATTAACTGAGTTAAGAAAATACGGGAAAAGAGGTATATTGAGGGAAATAAAAAAGTCTTCATTTTGGAATACTGAGTTTGAGATGATGGTGGGAAATCCAAGTGACATTATTCAGTAGACATATGGGTGTAAAGATCTCGAGGTTAGAGGGTTGTTATAACCCAGGGAACTGATAGCATACAGATG